CTCTCTCTCCCTCTCTCTCTCTTGTCTCTGTGTCTCTCTCTGTGTGTGTGTGCGCGTGTGCACCTCCTGTATACATAAACATATCACATATATATATACACACATAACCTATCATTTACGATCTCATATATATATATATATCACATATATATATATGTATATATATGCATGCATATATATATATACATACATACATTTTCTATATATATATATATTTATTTATAAAATTAAATATATATATATATATAGAGAGAGAGAGCTTCTATGTAATGTACCATGGTAAGACCCAACCTAGTATAACATAACATAAAATGAAATAATATCAAATGATATACCATGATACAAAACGAATGGAATATCCTTTTCCTAGATAATAGTTATATACATATATATAACTAATAAGTAATGATAGCAACAGCAACGGTTTCAATAACATTAGGATCATTAAGAATAGCATTGATTACAAGAACAATAACCATAATGAATCATAACCATGTAAAAAAGACATACTAAACATACTATACAAGATATTAGAATACAACATATTGGAGGTATGCTTTGACAGTCTCCCTACACTTTCTTCATCCAACCGGGAGTGGGAGAGTCGTCAATTATTCACCTTCAGCAAGGTTTCAGAAACTGCGCGAATGGAACACATCTTGCCGTCTTGAAGACAAAACTTAGTCCTGATAGTAGCCAAGACTACATTGACATGATGATGACCATCACCATCCAAGTGCTGCATGACCAATCGATCTGCAGCACCATGCTCAATCAGCAAACTCATTTCATCGGTAAGAAGAGCACATCCTGTCTTCGTAACATCATGAACTGTGAACCGGACATGAAAAAGCTGCTGTTATCGATGGCATCGACTTCACGAGGTTCAGGCGCACGTACAGGCTGTAAGTGCAGATGTCACTGTCCTCCCACGTTTAGACCAAGCCTGAACTCTGCTTTCATGCACACCCCTGTCTGTGGCAAATAATCCTCCTTTTCCTGCCGAACAGCATGAATAGCAAACGCGGCACAGAAGCCATGGACTCAAGGAACATGTCAGACTGCTTTGCAGGCCACGTAGCCAGCTGCCTCGCGTTTTCCAGGATTCCAGCACACCAGAAGGCTTCTGCTTCCAGGGACGCCAAAGGATCAAACCATCCTCGGCCGCTACACAGCTTCTTACGAATACAATCTTCATAACGATTGTCGACGCCAACACATTCGTACTTTACATTGATTTCGTGCTTTGGAGGCCTTCGAGTATGGATTGGAATCACTGCTTTGTGCATTTCAAATTCGGGGAAAACCTTCGCGACACAATTTGAACGTCTCCCTTGCTCCCAGGACAGCAACCGAAGATTCACAGCTCTTGCAGTCTCCAGCAGAAGCCAGCCATGAGGGCAGAGATGCTGTCTGCCAGCTCTAGTCACAACGTCCCAAGGATGGCTCACCTACATGGTGCAAGATGACGGTTCTCAAAGCTCCCGAGACGAGACCGGACCTCGAGCCTAAGTTTACGGACCAAAGGAAGCTTCATATACTCGAGCTGTGTGTACTTGCGATCTCGTCACGGACAATCATGTCGGGACAAGCAGTGCTAATGATGATGACGATGATGATGATTGGCAAGATTGGATTCGGGAGGGGGCGCGGGGTCCGGCTTCGCTTGGGCCTGCAGGGTTACAATGCGTCGACTCATCTACGCCACAGCCGCCGGGCATCCATGGATGTCAGCAGCTTGCAGGGCTCCACGTCCTCAGCGGCTGTCGAAGCTGTCTTGCCAGAAGCACGAATCAATAGCTGCCATCTCCTTAACAAAGCCGTGTTCGCAGCAGGCAGTGGAAAATGGATCCCGCCAAAAAATTGTGATTTTCGGGGCACCCGCAAAAAGCACCCCACATTGTGTAAAGTCAATTTAACCAACCCCTGACGATGCCAGGCCTGGCAACCGAAATATTGCAGAGCAGAGGCCCAAAAGCGTGCAAAGGCCGCCTGCACAGCCTCGCTCTGAGCTCTTGATTTCAGGCTTGCCCGATAGCCAAAGCTTACCATAACGAAACACACGGACAACAAGCCTTGATTTGACCTAGTAACTAGTAGCCAGAAAAACTGGGCTAGTTGCATTTTGTTCTGTCTTCAGAACTTTTCCTCTATTGACTCCTGTCGCCGGCGTTGCACTTCGCGTACCGTGTCCTGAAGTCAAGCTACAGTGAGCCAGAGTTAGGACGGCAGAAAGGGAGTCTTGCTCAGTTAAGATAACGTGGATCAACTGAACTTGGGAGTCCTGCCCGGAATGCCAAGGGATGTACCAAACAAGAACGGACTTCGCAGCAGACATCAATCAATCGACTGCAGCAGGATGTCGTTGTTCTGTGGTTGCTTTGGCTGCACGGGCGGTTGAAGACACAAGAACTCAGCCGTAGCTTCGCGTCTGCGAAGCTCCCAGTACGGCATCTCGTTGATGAAGCTGCCTCTTAGTCGTAAAGACGTATCCGACTAACCGTCGTCCCGACTGCAAGAAAAGGCGGGTGGCGGCATGCCCGCGGACCCTCCATGCTCCCGCTGACTGCCCAGCACCTGCATCACAGGTTCGAGTCGCACAGCTGTGGGTGGTAGGGTTTCGCGGCTACAATGCTGCCATCGGCATGCTGTATTCAAGAGACATGCCCTTACATCGTTGACTAAGTCAGAAAAGAAGCTAGATCAGGCACGATGCGCCGTAATCCCTAATGGCCAGAATATTTGCTACCGGTGTCACGGTAGCAGCAAGGAAGCCTCAGCACGAAATGCGGCAACTGGTTTATGGTAGATACATCCGATTACCACACACCGCTTGTATATGCATAGAGGCATAGAGATATGCATACATGTAGACATCGCTTCGTGCGTGCAACTCTTTGCAAGCCTCCCTCCAGAAGCCGCCGCTTTTCTATGCTGGAAGTCGATATTGAGTCAGATAAGTGCACGGCAGGTGCCTCGAACACAAACGATGCCGGTGGACATGTTGTCCTTCGGCCTTGGCCAGCAGTCGGCGAAATCTGAGAAACGGAGAATTCAGGAAGCCAGGGGCGGCCACAACCCAAAAAAGATGAGAGAAGAGACGAATAATTACATGAACGCAAAGATACCATTTCTGTGATACCGGGGGAGGGCGGGGCACGCTCTCTCAGAAATGCCAGGCTGGCTGGGAGTGACCAGACTTTTACTTTTTGCAAGGCATCTTCACCAGGAAAAGGTGCTAGGCAACAAACCTGGGCATCGGCAGGTGCCACCGAGACAAGCTTAACATGATTACGTAGAGTTTAGGGCCGCGGCCATCGACCATCGCCCATGGTCCAAGTGGATGAATCGGATCTGGAAACCGCGCCTACAGAAGTGTTTGGACAGATTCGTTCATGCGGTAACCAGCTCACTTCCTGTCTGCAAAGACATGAGTGTTCTACGCTCCACTTAGATTTCATTTGCCACTTCTGACGCTCAGCTTCGTAAGCAGCAGCTTGGCGCCTCCGCTGCCGACACCTTCGAAAACCAAGGGATCTCGAGCCAGCTACAGGAAGACAGTAAAACCCATCAAACCTGCATCGAAACTGTCACCATGACCATAGGATGAGGGATGAGGGACTTGGGTTTAGCGGTTGATGTGGAATGCCCGAGCTGGATGCCTCGCGGAAGTAAGCTTATGGTAGGTAAAGTTGGAGTCGCTTGTGCAGGAGCAGGCTGGCACACATGACGGAAGTAAGCATGTTCATGTTATTGGCGTCTGTAGCAAGCGGTGGATTCTGATTGAAGTCCGAAAGTTGAGGCAACGCATTAAAGTTACCGAATGCATGTGCTGGATCGGCTGGACAAACGAGATATACCAGCTACACTACGTTTCCAAGTGTCCAGGAGATCTTGCAGCACACTGTTGCTAAAAATGTCCAACTGCTACGAGCCAACGAGAGCCCACCTTCCAACCACGACCAGATGTCTTCCAAAGTTGCCTTGCGCAGTCCGTTCGGGCTTTCGGTGTCAAGCACATCTCACTGTTCCACCTCGCAATGGCCCTGTGATACAGGATTAACCTCACGCAACGTAAATCTAACCCCAAACCTTTACAAACCTCCAAGCCTAACTAAGCTCTAAACCCCAAACCTGAGAACTTCGGACCACAGTTCTGCCTCGTACGATGCCTTCGCTAACGCTGACGACTCCACAGCACAACAAATCGCAAAGTTGACTGGTTGCAAATGTTGCAAACTAGAAGGGTTTCGGTTCCCGAGCCTGCAGTTCCACCTGTGGCAGAACTCCCTCGAGAACTGCCATGCCCCGATGTCGGAGGGCTTCCCTCCAGCCTCCTTCTGGGACAAGTGGAGGGGGTGCGGTTGGGGGGATGAGGGGTTGGAGTTTGAAGATTTGGGGTTACCTGCTCTTTGGGCTCTTTTCTGTATAGGGCTTCGGAGCTAGGAAGTCTGCCGTTTACAGGAACGGATGTGGGGGTGCCTAGGATTGACGGTTTGGGATCGAAGAGCCGCCGTAGTAGAGAAATGGGTAGAGAAGTGCGAATGCCAACAGGATCCAGAGGGCAAGCAAAACCAGCGAGCATGCTAGATTCTGCTAGATTACTTAGTTCAGCACTTCTGGGTCACATGGTCCCGTTTCGAAGTCGACCGGTTCAAGAAGGCCACGACATTGCACAGCTGGGTCACGGAATGCTTCTTGCCAGTTACAACTGGAGCTTTGCTGCGAGCATCTGTTGCAGGGTGGCTGCCGGGACCGTTGTTCTGCATTCTTTGACGGCCTGATCCTGCTTAAAAAAAAGCCGAAGACTCCACAGACTCCACACAGAAAAATCTGAGAGACAAAATCGAGTTGGCTCGGTCCCAACTCGAGGCTTCAAAAACAACAAAGCTGAAGTTGCAAACGGCCTGTGTCAGCGGGTTGAAATCGAATCTCACCAGGCAATGCCTCGAACTGTGGGATCGGTTCTGGATGCCTTCCGAACTTCTGTCCAAATTTCGGGGCAGGTGCTATAACAAAAAGCATGACTAGCACCAATCACCAATTAGTCAAAAGCTGTTCAGCGAGACTGTTGAACTTTTGGTGCACGTGTTGCTTGTTTGAAAGTGGCTACGGTCCGACAAACCCTGACATTGAGAAAGAGAAACGTGTTGGCCCCCATTCTCTAAATGCACACAACTTCCATAATTATTTGGCTGTTACTTCTTGTCGTGCACACACACACACACACGTCTCAAAATCTCACCCTCAATAAGGTCAGCTTTGAGATTCATTGGCATCTGTCACCGCGCAATATGATGCCGGAACCATACGTGCATGGAATCTATGTTCTCGAACAGCTCCATTTTGAGCTTGCTGCCAATCGTCCCAAACGATCCCATGGACCTTAAACCGAAACCGAAGCCTATAAGTTATAAGAGCTCTGAAACCCCCACCCATAACACATGCACCCTGAAGCTGCAAGAACACCGCCAGCCGGATCCGAAAGACCTGGCCTGAATCCGAGCATGTCGGCGGACACTGCGGCGCCAACCAAGCGCACAGGGTACTGGGAGGTCCGACAAGAGTCTGAAGTCCAAGGACCACAGGGAATCTAAGAACGAAGGACGGGAGTAAGGAAAGGAACTGTTCTGATCAGATACCGACACAGAACTAAGTATTTCTAGCATGTCATGTCTTCATCGTTGGACAGTGACTGTGACAATCCATCTATCTATCTACCTACCTATCGATCTACCTATCGATCTATCTATTTATCTATCTATCCTATCTGTCTGTCTGTCTATCTACCTATCTAATAGTATTGCATGTCTGTATGTATATATATATATATATACGTACATATATATATATATGTTCCGATATATGCATACATACATACATACATACATACCTACCTACGTACGTACATACATACATACATACATGCATGTACATACATGTACATACATGTACATACATGTACATACATGTACATACAGACAGATGTCTGTCATGATGTTTGTGTATACACATACATATATA